TCAGTTCACATTTAGGCAGACAGGTCGGTAAGACATTATGGGTTGGCTTCTGATGTTACTAGGAGACACAGTCTCACAGCAAACTCCCTGACCCATGACTCTTGCGGTCTTTCTACCCACTCTTTCCACAATGTTCCCCAAGCCTTAGGTGGAGAGGAAACAACTTTTTAATAAATAAAAACCTTGATGTCACTTTTTCCCGTCTTTTTTCCTAGCTCTAGGCAGGAACCATCTAAGTGCTTGTGTGAAATTCTTTCATTCCAAGCCACCCTCACTAGAGTACAGTTCTCTGAACTTGTCACTAACTGGTGCTTCCCTGTCCTCTCTTTTCTCCACTGAGCCCTCCCTTATTCAGCATACGAAATAACTACTATCCAGAGAAGGTCTGTTGCGGCTGGTTCTGTTCCATCCAGTCTGGCAGGGGTGTTGTGTCTGGAACACAGGTGCCAGAAAAAAGCAGAGTGGTAAAGACAGTTCCAGGAGCCTAAGGAGCAAATGACTTCCAACTAATTAAAGGGGCCAGAAATTAGGTCTAGAAAAGAGAAAATTCAAGAAGGGGCGTGTAGTTGTTCTTTGGCGCTGAGAGCTTTTCCTTTGTAAAGACTGGCCACCAGTTTCCTGTAAATCTGAGGAAGACCTCAGCCTTCCGCATATCCAGATTTCTTCTTGGGATATTTCCGGCTGCACTGTTACTTGTTATTATTGCCTATTGTCGTTGTTATTATCCTATTTATTATTCTTGCAGGACTAATCTATTTATAACAAAAAATGATTCTTGGTTTCTCATTAGTTTTCTAAGACAAATTCTTCTTTAGAAAACTTATCAAATGCTTTTCAGTTCTTTACCCTTAGGAAAGGGTTCTGGATCTTTGCACAAGTATTTGTTGTGTATCTAGTATTATATTGTTATTGGGGGACAGCATTTTTGAGTGCTTGCTTCATCCTAGGTATGACACATTTCACTTTAGCCTTGCAGTTTCCCTGTGTAATGGTTACTTCTGACTTTTAGAAGAAGAATCAGAGACCTGGTGAGAATATTGGCTGTGCTGTGTTTATATCAACAAAGTTAACCCAAGTCATCTGTATTGTTCTCTCTAAAGCTTAGTGGACATTGTGGAAGAGGGGACAGAAAGAATGTAAAAGCCTGAAAATAAGAAGGAATGTGAAATAACACCTTCTTTGCAAAACATGCCCATGCCTTTGGTGAGTTTGTAGAAGAATGGACCAATCAACAGTCAGGCATGGATAAAGGAGGTACTCAGAGCACTACCCTCATGGACCAGTCAACAGTCAGGCATGTATAGAGGAGGGACTCAGAGTTCTACCCTCATGGACCAATCAACAGTCAGG